GTTCTCACGCTCTAAAAGAGGGAAAAAAGCCTATTGAAAAGTACTTGAGTTCTTTTACTAGGTCCCATGTGGGGCAGAAATTAAGGTAGCTCTCGCTTGTGTCTGTCTTCTTGCAGCTTAGTTGAGTGCACAAGACACCTAAAAAGCATTGTTACCATGGAGAAGCAACACAGTAAGTGTGGCAGCAGAGAGAGAGAGAAAGCCCTGCAGTGTTTGAAGAAGATAAACTGTTGAAACAAAAATTAACCATGTTTCGTATTTCTCATATATGGTACCTTCTTATATAGTGTCTTCTTTCTAACAAGTAGTGTGGCAGAGATTTCTGTAAGTTTGAATATGCGTTATCAGAGATAAATAAGAGTAAGTAGTCATGTGTTACTTTCTCAAGTGGAAGGAAGTGGAAAAGCTTGTGGCACTGCTCTTGTGCTGTCAGCAGAAAATGAAAACATATCCTGAAATATCATTCCATTTTCCAATTTAACATGTTTTCTGTGATAATCTGTTGCTGCCTAACAAATTATGGAATGCAATAATATAAACCTCCCTTCTGCTAGATTTTAATAATGTGAAACATATAGCTAATATATGCTGACCCGTAGTCAGTATGTTTTCAGGTATTGTCTGTGTTCAAGGGGATCAGAGGTATGCAGAGTAGAAAGCGGTAAAAGTCAGTTTCTCAGAGGCTGGGGATTTAGCTCAGTGGCACAGCACCTGCCTGGCAAGCGCAAGATCGTGAGTTCGATTCCCGGTACTGAAAGAAAAACAGAACAAAGTCAATGTCTCGACCCCATTGGAGTTTATGTTTTAGTTGAAGGATACAAGAAAAATGCAGGGGAAAGAGAATAGGTATATGGTGGCTGGCAGAGCCTCCGTATTACCTAACGTTTGTTTCACTGTCGAGAAGCCTGAGTTCTAAAAGACTTAAAGGATGGATTGAGTGGGATGAATGTGGTTCGGCCTCAGGCCTCCAGGCTAGCATGGCATTTCCTTCTTTTTCTGTGAGGTAACACACTTCCAAGTTCAAGCTATGTGGTACAGCTGTAAAGGCCAAGTAAAGTGAAGGGGGGAAAATGGGGGCTTAAGTCATCAAGAATGAAAAGGGACGTACAGTTTGGAGTGAAGCATGGACAGTAAGTGCAGGGAGCAGAATGATCCAACCAGTGAGAACCAGACACGGGGTGTATCTTGGGAGAGAGACAGACCCAGCCTGGCTGGCTGGAAAGGCACGTAGGGAAACGGCTTGAAGGACTTGGCCGTATGGGAGAGGAACTTGGGATTGGTGTGGTGGGCCATGTGGAACTCTCGTCAGTCCTTGAGCATGAAATGATCCAATGAAAGTGCAATTAAGAGAGCAGTTTGTTTGTTCACTGGGAAAATTGGATGGTATCTGAATTTTTCTTTTCTTACACCCATGCATAGGTGTTTTGTTTTGTTTTTTGTTTCCAAGGAGATTAAACACTATGTTAATCAGAATAAGCTAGCTTATGTGGTAGCACAAATTTAGCCTGAATCCCAGCGGCTGAGTATATCCATGTGTTTCTACTTTGTGCTCCTTGTTCAACACAAGTAGATGGACCCTTGGGGTGGTTCTGGTCTTACTTGTTCAGGGACCCAGCCTAGCAAACGTGCCACCATTGAGAAGATCACTGCTCTCCACCACTTTAGCGTGGAAATAATATGCCCCATCCTAACTTGTTGGCGGGAAGTAGTCACACAAATGCCAGGTGTGGGGGGATATAATTCTGCTTGTTTAGGAGAGAAAATGTAGTGACTGAGAGTGCAGACCCAGAGCTGGAGCCAGACTGCCAGAGTTTGATGAGCCTCACAGAACTACTGTGAAGCTTAAATGAACTTATCTGTCTAAAGTGCTTACAGCGCCACGGGGTATAATTGTTGGCAAGTATTACGGTTGTGATATTAAAGTGCTGGCTTTCTGGACAGCATCCTCAAGGAAGCCTGAAGTTTCTGACTCTAGTTGAGAGACCCAGAGGGGAGGAGTTGGTCGTAGTTTACATATGTGAAGGCCAACTTCCCACTGAATGATGGTGTTGGGCAAAGAAAAGACAAGCAAGAAAGTGGCAGAGGAGAGACCCGCAAGGATTTGTTCACCCACTAACTCCGTAAGTGGCAGGAGGAGGAGAAGGCAGTGTAGTGAGGATGACGGTGGTGTTTGCAGAGAAGTTAGGGGACCCTTGGGGAAGGGAGCTGAGGTTCAGATGTGGCCAGAGGGAGAGGTCCAAGGCTCAAGAGGCCACAGGAAATGGAGGCATGGGGCGCGGGCAGTCAGAGGAAACTAAGCAGCTCTGGTGAGCATGTTTCAGTAAATCCCCTGTGGCATGGGACTGCTCTGAGTCAGGCTGCAGACTAGGCCAGAAGGTTCTGGGTTAAATCTCACCTCTCCTGTGGCCTTCGTGTCTGGTTTCCTGATCTGTATGGTGGGGATCATGAGAATTCAACTACTTAGCTGTGATTAAGCAAGATAACACCAGCACAGGATTCGGAACGTGGTGTGTGGTATAGAATAGATAATGCTCTTCCCTACTTCATTAAGGCTTTTTAGGCATAGAAACATGGGCTTTTCTTCCGCACAGTAGGCAAGGATGAGGTAAGAGGCAAGGATGAGGTAAGAGGTAGTCTTCCCTGGATTCAGAGAATGGCCTTGACCCACAGCACTCTAATCCACCTATCTTTCATTTCTCATTGTTCATCTGATAGCTAAAGAGCAAATGTTTTTAAGCTTTTCAGAGAGTAACAAGTCGCAGTGAGCTGAGAAGGAACCAAAATAGACATTTTGAGGGCTAATTTAAGAGCAGTGCTTCCCCTTTCAAATTTTCATGCTACCTTTTACTGAATGTCAAGAGCTTCTTGAAATATAAAATCTTTTCCAAGCCAGAATTTCTGTATCTAGTTTTGTCATTGACTTGTTGATTAATCAGCTATGTTGTTAATACATCTAATTTAAATTTCAGGGTCTTCTAGGGCAGGTATTTGTATAACTGCCTTCAGGTATACGTGTGCTGTAGCATTTATGGCATTTCTTTTCATTTCATTGAGAAATAAGAACTTTGCGGGTATTTCAGTAGGACTTTAGAATATTACTAGGAGTGGTTCACAAATGTGCTGTTCAGTTAAATAACTATTTGAGATCTTTCTGTAGAACAGGCACTGGACCAGGTTCTGTGTACAAGACAGATGAGGTCCTCATCTTCCTGGGGCTCATAGCCTAGCCCAGATTATAATCTATCAATTGTTGATTTATTGGCCCTATTTAAGAATTGTGTAGTCAGCCGGTATAAAATAACACCATTCATGCGATTCAGATCTGTCTTCTTTATGGTGAGAATACAGTTAGGACCGCTTTGCTGACGCTGTCTCTAACTGGCCAGCTGCCTTTTCCGGACTTAGTGTGGGTGGTCCCGTCTGCTCATTCTGTTCACAGAGCTGTGGAAGTGAAGACATTATATAATGTGTGGACTATTTTGTAAGTTTTTGACCTCTTCCAATATATCGGATTCTAACATTTGACATTCACTATTCTATGCTATCACTGAATAGTCAGGGCACTTAGTGGATTTAAACGAATAGTTAAAAGGCTTTAAAAAATAACCAAATGATCTTTTTTAGAAATAAAAATGGGATCATCAAAGAGAATATGGTTAGCTGCCATAATATCTGTCTGCTTTCTCAGAGGTGGGGTTCTAGCTCACTGGTATTACTTAAACTTGTTAATATACCACCAGATCCATGATGAAAATCTTACAGGATTGTGGTTCTCGAGCAGTGTGTTTGTACACGATCACCATCTTCGTTCTGTCACAGGGTACAAAGTCATCTAGCACTGCCCCTGTGTTCCAAGTTTACCTACTGGTGCCAGGAACGTGCCAGAAATACAAGTGAAGCCCAGGCTCACCAGTAGGCCGTGAGGGCCCCTGGAGAAGCTCGGAAAGTGAGGAAACTGTGTTTCCAGCTTTCCCTTCATATCCCTCACCACGGTTTCTGTGGAGAGGTGTGACTCAAATGACTATGAGTACCTCCGGCATGAACTGTGGTGTTCACCCTGCCTTCCTGTTCTCTTGCACAGGCGATAGGCGGAGTAAGGGAAAGGCGCACAGATCCCGCCTTCTCTGTGCAGTCTCACCTGCTTCCCTAAGCTGTTACAAAGACCAGGTCTGTTTCCCTCAGTGGCCATAAGGCCGGGAGGCTCTCTGTGAAATGTAATGCAATGTATATCTGAACTGTACTCAGTGAAGTGTTGCATCAATCACTAAGATTTATTTCCTTGAGGGATAAAAAATGAGCAAGTAAGAATTTAAGTATTTCCAGGGTCTAAAAGCCCAAGAAAAAGTTAAGTGATGACTCATGATTCAGCATTTTGTTTCTTTACCTTCCATCATCAAAATTAGTTTCATGGCCAACTGAGATACTGTATTGGGGAAATTTGAGGGGCTGAGTAACACAAATTTGAGCTGGCAGATGGACTGACAGTACTTGGAAAGGTCACAGTACTTACTCATATTCAGGTATTCATTTGAGCAAGTATGTACTATTGGAAAGAATCCTGAGAAGTCTGTTTATAGTTTGCATTTTACTTCCTGTCTTTCTCAAGCAGGTAACAACTGTGCTTTCTACTGCTTCCCAACTCCCACCCAGACCTTTCTTATAACCCAAGCTGCAGAAACACAGACACGAGGTCCTAGCAACCTGGGGAAAAAAAAGAAATGATCCCTTAGCGACCCCAGGAAAACTAAGCGTATGTGCATATTTTTTTACTCCCAAGAAGAATTTGACAAGTGGACTTCCTAGTGGATACTGCCAGGCAAAGTTCTGGTCCTGTTGCTGGCCTTTAAGTCCTAGGCTGGCTTGTCTGAGGGGACAAACGTGATGCTTTCATTGCCACAGTCTTCACCAACATTTACAGTGTTATTATAATCTCCCTTGCCAACTTTATTCCCCTGTAACTGCTGCTGTTAGTGGTGAACATTGAGGGACATACTCATACCTTTGTGGCATCCTACTCTTTATTCCAAAAGTGTTTAGTGAAACAGTTATGACTCAGAACAAAACAAAACAAAGCAAAATGTTACCGAAGGGTAAAATCTAAAATAGAAAGGATAACGGATTTAAGAAATACATTACAAAAAATACTGTACAATATTAACATTTTTACATGGGCAGTGTACAATCTAATCAGTCTTTTCTCCTTTGCCAAACTATTGGTAGGAAATGATTGAGTTTTTATTAGCATAAACCTTTCCTTTTATATTGTGTTATTAAGAGAGCTTCCTAGCTAGACATGGCCGTACATCACTGTAATCGCAGCATTCAGGGAGGCTGAGGCAGGAGGATCATTCAACTTGGGTGACACAGCGAGATTCTGACTCAGAATTTGAAAAAAAATAAAAAAGGTTGGGGATGTAGCTCGGTGCAAGGCCCTGGATTCAGTCACCAATGCCACTAAAAAAGAAAGAAAGAAAAAGCTTCCCTGTTGATATATTATTTATGAATCAGAACTTGTTTTATGTTTGCTTGAGCTGATACATCTATCAGTTTACTTCCACACTGACCGTGGGAAATAGTGCCTGGTGAAAAGAACTGAAAGGAATCCCAGTCAGACGCTGAATGATCATTTTGCCTTAGAAGTCCTGCAGAGCTGGTCATGCAGTTTGCTTTAGGTCCAACATAGTCCTTTTTACCTTCCATTTGAAGTCTTGGAGTGTATCATCATCTGTGACTCTGTCATCTCACGGGAGTTTTCCTCAGGGGCTGACCTCACAGCACTGGAAAGCGATACACTGACTTGACGTTTCAACATCTTCATGACCTTCCTCTTGTACCCTTTACATGCAAAGAAATATATGAAAGGGTCCATGCAGCAGTTAAAGTTCATCAGGCATACTGTAAAGTGCAGGGACACCTGAAATGAATGTTTTTGGCTGCATTCTAGAACATCATGAAAGTGAAGCTTCTTAATCATGTGTTGAATAATTGCAACGTGGTAAGGTGTGAAACAGAGAACGAATACAACAATTATAAAAATAATTGTGTTGAGAGCCTTTTTGTTTACACCTGATTTCTCACTTAGAGGGTTTTGTTTGGCAGTTCTAAAGAGCTTGCAGCAGATCTGAGAGTAGCAGATGAGAATGATGACGAGCGGAAGCACATATCCTATGAAACACGCAGCAAGCAGAATCCAGGGAAGGGACTCCGTGTTTTCAAAGTTGGGGTATTCCATGCATGTAGTCCTCTCCGTCTCCCTCTTAGACATGGGGTTGATGAGCAGTGGGAGTGTCTGAGCAAATACCAGGATCCAGACAAATATGCAAACCCCTTTTGCGTATTCGACTCGTTTCATCTTGTTGTAGCGTAGGGGATGCACCACAGCAAAAAAGCGGTCAATGCTCAGGCAGGTCATGAAGTTCACGCCCGCGTATGTGTTGATGTAGAACACAAGCGCAGTTATCCTGCACAAGGCGTCGCCCAGCTTCCAGTCAAAGCCCAGCGCGTAGTAGGCTATCCGGGTAGGCAAAGCAGTGGTGAAAAGGATGTCAGAAATCACCAAATTTGTTGAGTAAAGGGTGGTAGAGTTGATTTTTTTCCTGTTTTGAACAATGACAACCAAGGCCAACAAGTTCCCCACCAGCCCGATGATGAAGACGAGGCTGTAATGGAGAGGCATGAGTATCCTGGCAGTGGTGTGGTGTGTGTAGAGGTCGCAGCCATTTCCCTGGGGAGTTGGGGAGGGGGCGGTAAAATTGTTCGCCATTTCAAGATCCAGTGGTGGTGGGCAGAGTCTCTAGAAAAAAACAAGAAGGGTCTGTTTAATTAAAAACGTACTCCCACCAGTATAACCAGTCATTTGTGCATCTAGTTCTCAAATTTTCAATATTTACATAGTTTAAAGAAATCTTTGATATATAATGTGGTTATATATGTGATAATACGAAGAAGAGGGAATAAAATTTATTTTATACTCTCATAATTGGTGGCTTTAGTAAAGCTCTGGCAAAGGAAATAGGGCCCTCTAAATAGGGCAAATGCGTTGTTGTGACAAGAGGGAATGTACCAGCTTTTTAGACCGAAATTCCCTTTCCTTTTTCTGAACCACTGTCTGGTTAAGAAGAAAATCAGATTAGAGCACCCCATATTTTAGACAGGCGTTAAGCTTCGCTTTTAAATTGAATTTCAGTTGAACTTTTTTTTTTTTTTCAAATGCGTTATCACTGCCAGGAAATGAAATCAGTCACACACTGATGTAGTGAAATACAAACTTACCACAGTGATCTGATTTGTGTTAACCTAAAAAGTATAAGAAATGAGCTTAGGCCTCGTTAGGAACTGAAAGTTAGGTTTTCTTTTTAGAAAAAGAAGGAGACTGACAACCATGACCAAAACTTCAAAAAAGAATAGAAAGAAGAGAGAAAAACACTGAAGTTACTTCACAGGGAAATTTTTAAAGTACTTGTGAACTAGATCAGCCCGTGAGGGGACGCATGGCTCATATATTGCATGTGGAGGCAAGCATCACATGGGGTTTTGTGTCCTGCTTTAGCTACTGAATATCCTTGTGTCCTTCGCATCTTTGTATTTTTATGTTTAGATTTTATGCAGACATTTGATAGGATTCTACAGTGTTCTCATATGTTCATGGACAATAATGCTATTCCCTTGGTGTAATTTTGGATTATTTCCAACTCTTTTTACAGATAATGTTGAGAGAGTTTTCAGGAAATTGAAAACTTGTACAGTAACGGTCAGCATAGAGTAAACTTAGAGGAAAGCAGGAAGAGCAGAGCAATAAACCCTGTGTGGTTATTTTTAGAAGAAAAATTCTTTGGCTCGTGGGACCCTGCCAAATCTTACATGAAAGTCACCAAAATTAAGGGAAATTTTTAATGTATCTGGTGATGCTGCTGCTATGTTTTAAAGTACTACCCTGACTGAAAGCACCGACTACAGTCCACTTCTCTGCCTGCTGTATTAAATGAACTGGGCCTCTGCCAGCTTCACTCTAACGGCCTCACAGCAAGGACTCACAGGCACTGAGGGCCGTCCGAGGGTGGCTCTGAGGGTGAAGGTGTGGACCATACCCAGTGCTGGTAGGCAGATCCTTCCAGAATGCAGATATGATCTACAGGAAGAGAACGAACATGGACACAGAACAGTTTCTCATCCAAGACCAGACCAGAATGGAAACTGGTGTGGGGGTGGGGGAGGATGATTAGTAGAAGTCACAGAATAAGATGGTAGGGATCCCAACAGATTGATGTTAATTTAAACTTGTCTAATAAAAGACAGAGACTGTCGGTTTGGAAATCCAGCTGTCTGCTGCCTAGAGGAGAATATAATTCAAAACAATTCAAAAAGGTTAGAAATAAAAGCCTGGGAAAACATGTACCAGGCAAATCCTAAGCAATACAAAAGTAGAGTAGTGATCTTAATATCATAAAAAGTAGAATTCAAGGCAAATATCATTAGGAATAAAGACAGTCACTACAAGAGTTAAAAACAACTCAAAGAAAACATTATTCTGAAATATGCATGTACTAGGAAAATCTGACAGAATTGAAAAAAGAAATTGGCAATCCACAGTTATAATGGAAGATCTTACGCATTTCTGTTAGCGTATGCTAGAAAAGAGACTCAAGACTTTGAAGATTTACCCAACATGGTTTAAAAGCTAATCGAATTTGTGCCAAAGGCCTGTGGGCATGTCTGAAACTCCACCAAGTTCTAGATCATGGGACATGTCTCGAACCTTCAGAAAATTACTGAACGGATCATATTGCCTCACTGTGGTATAATTAAATTAGAAAACAACAATAAAAATTAAAAGATAAATTTGAAAACTAAAAAGTATATTCCTAAGGAACTTTTCAGTTAAGGAAGGTGCCTCTATGGGGATTTTGAAATGCTTAGAACTAAATGATAAAAATAATTCCTACTCCAACTGTGCGATGCGGCTAAGGAATTAATCTGGGAGAAGACAGTGTCTTGAGTGCCTTTATTAAAATTGAAACTGGGTAAGTGAAATGTATAACTCAAAAAGCTGGCAAAGAGCTGAGTTTATCCAAAGAAAATAATGAAGACAATTGCTGAAGTTAGTGAAATATAAACTGGAATTATGAGCTGTATATTTTGTGTAGAAAAAAAAGAAGTGGTTCTTAGATAGAAGTCATGGGAATGGCATTGTGGAATAGAAGTGGGGAAAAACTTTATTTGCAGAAGGCTTCCTGTGAGAAGCAGCTGTTCAGTTGCTAAGACTGGCCCCAAGGGAGAAATACAGACCCAGGCAAGGATACCACTGAGGAGTGGGCGTCTAGAACGTCTTCTGTTACTTTTCTAATATCTGAGAAAATGGACTTTTCTAAAAATCTGAACTTAGAAAAGCAGATTCATAGGAAATTACTTTTAAAATAAATGGCAGGATAAACACTCAGTGTGGAGCTGGAGAGTCCTCCGAATGAATAATTCTGATTGCAGAGATTGGGAAGGGCACACGAACGTGAGACTCTGAGGAGGAGATGCCGTTGTCTGACGCCTGTTAGTGACATCTGATGTTTCCCGGCGTGTACTGTAGCATTGGTAGAGCCGGAAATGACAGGGGTTTCAGAACAGTGTAAGTTCAGCAACACTTGACACAGTGTTCATTACAAAAGTGAGTTTGCAAACAACCCAGATGCCTTTCATTAGGAAATGTTAAATATTTTATGGTACAGCCATACCGTGGGATATGTATTATGCCCCTGAAAGTGGCACTATACAAGCCTATTTCTTGACAAGGAAGTTATGTTAAGGAAAACAAATATATAACATTGATTTTTTTGGATGGTACTGGGGATTGAACACAGGGTCTTCTCACTGAGCTATATCCCAGCCTTGTTTTTTTTTTTTTTTTTTAATTGAGACAGGGTCTTCCCGAATTGTTCAGGATGGGCTCAAACTTCCAGTCCTCCTGCCTCAGCTTCCTAGAGTGCCAGGATTATGCAGTAACATGCTCCTTTTACCGGTGAAAGCAAATACACACCACATGCGGAGAAGCGTGTCTAATACCAAACACAGTTGTACAAGTACCTTGAAGACTTTATCCATATAGTCTAAATTTTAATAACGACCATGAATTAACTGAAATGGATAAGTAGATGGATGAATTTTTTAATCTAAGGGAAGAATTTTTTAATTTAGCTCTCTTCACAAAAACCTGGTCATCTGACATACTTTTCAGAGCTCCCTTTCATGCTCTATTTTCACATGTGTGCGTTAACTTACTAGGAGCCTACATTAAGTCCTGTCCTGTAGGGACTCACAGCAGCCTGCACACTCAGGATTGCTTGCTGCTCTTCAAGTGAGGAGCCCAGCGTCCTTACATGCTGAATCCTTTGCAGGAGTGGCTGCTTCACGATGCCCGTGAAGAACTGAGAGTTTGTGGTTTTAAAGTGCATACAACTTGGTCACAATGTGGCGACTCTTCCTAGTTGCCTTAGTTACTTTTCTCGTTGCTAAGACGAAGTACTTGACGCCCAAAGTTAGGGGAGGAAAGGTTTTTCAGCTCACAGTTTGTAGAGGTTTCAGTCCATCATCAGCTGGCTCCAAGGTGGAGTGGCTTCGCAGAGGGCAACAGTTCATGGAGGGCAGAAGGTAGCAAAGCAGCAAGGGGCAGACAAGCCTCTTTCTGTCCCTGATATTGTATCCAATCTACTGGGACCAGAGTGGTGCCAGTCCAGTCAGTGAACCCACCTTCAATCCTAGCACTGCACCATGAATCAGTCACGCACTCTAGATCCAGTCACCCCTGAAAAAGCCCCACCTGTGACCACATGAGGCTTTGGGGGGACATCTGGACACAAGCCACAACACTAGAGGAAGGGAGCCCGTTACAGAAGCACCTTCCCGAGGGAAGCCTGTCCAGGGCCCTCTTATTGAACACTGCTGCGCTGGAACTAGCTGAGGAAAGCGCTCCCAGGATGCAGACAGGAAATGGGATCAGTCAGAAAGGGTCTTAGGTAAGGAAGACTGAAGGAGGCACTGAAATAAGTTCTCTCTGAATATTTAGGAGCCTCCCCAGAACTGATTCCCCAGGGCCACTTAGTTCTTATTTCCTGTGTTAATACAGTACTACAGTTTCAGCCAGTATTATCCCTAGGTTGAGGGGGAAATCCTTTCGTGCCCTTGACTGTCACCTACTCTGTCAACAAATCCCAGTCTGTTAGAGTCTTCCCTCAGAGATCTCACTTTATACCTTCCTTTAGTCACTGTGGAGTGTACTTTCCTGGAACTTGAATTAGCACCATTCTTTTATTAGCACACATTGCTTTTAGGAGTACAGAAACGATCCCTTTCATCTAATGAACAGAAAAGATTGGCAGTGGGGGTGAAGCTAGCTCAGTACTGAAAGTCCCCAAGTTGGGAACTTTCACAGGCGTGCTGTGTAAGACTCGCTTTGTCAGCTTACACATGAACCCGACTCACAAACAGTTCTCCCTTCTTTGCTGTTCCTTCTTGTTCGCACTACTGTCCCACTCTCTCTTTGCATTCCAGTGTGCCTCTAGCAACTTTGGGATTGTAGATTCCCCTTCTAATCATTTTCGAGGTTTACTGTTAGGTCTACTCGTAAATATACTTTAAGTAGCATAAATGTTCTCGTTAGGCAGCAGGTGCGGAGATGTTATTTAGGATGCAGATAGGTAATGAGTTAAGCTTGAAAGTACCGTAACTTGGCATGGCACCGCCTGGGGAAAATTCCACAAAAATGTGCTGAATCTTTTTTTCCTTAACACTAGCATCCAGAGAATTACA